GGCACCACCCCCCCCCTGACACTGCCACCCCCCAGCTCTGCGTCCACCACGGCTGGAGCCCCGGCGGTGGCCGCTTCGACGTGCTGCCGCTGCTACTGCAGAGCCCCGAGGAGCCCCCCGAGCTCTTCCCCCTCCCGCCGGAGTTGGTCCTCGAAGTGCCCCTCCACCACCCCACGTGAGTGGGGCTGAGACCCCCCGCATGGGCCCAAGGGACCTGGACCCTGCCGGCCTCAATAGGACCCCCGCTCCGGGCCGAGGGGCTGAGGTCCCACACGCTCACCCGTGGGGAGGGGGTGGGAGTGGGGCTGGGATGAATGTTGGGCCTCTACGCCGGGGACCTGGGGCCAGCGTGGGTCCCCGGCTACAGCCCACCCCCCCACGCAGGCTGGAGTGGTTCGGGGAGCTGGGGCTGCGGTGGTACGCGCTGCCGGCCGTCTCCAACATGCTGCTGGAGATCGGGGGGCTGGAGTTCCCGGCGGCCCCCTTCAATGGCTGGTACATGAGCAGCGAGATCGGCACCAGGAACCTCTGCGACAGCCAGCGCTACAACCTGCTGCCGGTGAGCCCTGCGGCCGGGAGGGGGGCTCAGCTGCACCGTGCCCCCGCACCGGGACCCTGGTGTCCTGGGGCAGCTGTGCTGAGCCCCCCTACACTGCCGGCAGGAGGTTGCCCTGCGCATGGGGCTGGACACACGGACGACATCATCCCTCTGGAAGGACAAGGCGGCGGTGGAGGTGAACATCGCCGTGCTGCACAGCTACCAGGTGGGACGTGCGGCCGGGGGGATGCCGGCACTGCCACGCCATGGGGGCCCCGACACTGCCACGATGCTGGGGCGGGTGCCGGCCGCTGCCAGCCCCCCCAGCCCCCTGTCCCCGCAGGTGGCCAAGGTGACGATCGTGGACCACCACGCAGCCACCGAGTCCTTCGTGAAGCACATGGAGAACGAGCTGCGGACGCGGGGGGGGTGCCCAGCTGACTGGGTCTGGATCGTGCCCCCCATCTCAGGCAGCCTCACCCCTGTCTTTCACCAGGAGATGGTCAACTACCAGCTCTGCCCCACCTTCCGCTACCAGGTGGGCCCAGCCCCACCACCCTATGGCCCTCTAGCCCCCCAGCCCCCCAGCTGACCCCCTACCCACCCCACAGCCTGATGCCTGGAAGGTCTACGTCTCCAAAGGCACCACCGTCACCAGGAGAAAGACCTTCAAGGAGGTGGCCAAGTAGGTGTCCACCCTTGGGGAGGGTCCCTGGAGGTCACCAAGCGGAGGACCGGACGCTGACCCGATTCGTGTGTGTCGTCGTCCGTCCCCCCCACCTCAGCGCGGTGAAGATCTCGGCTAAGCTGATGGGACACATGATGGCACGCCGGGTGAAGGCCACCATCCTCTACGCCACCGAGACCGGCAAATCCCGGACCTACGCCTGGAACCTCTGCCAGCTCTTCCGACGTGCCTTTGACCCCAAGGTGGGCAGGGGGAGATTGGGGGGAAGGCTCCCGTTGCAGCCTCCTGCCCATGTCCCAACCCCATGTCCCCCCCCTCCACGCAGGTGCTGTGCATGGATGAGTACGATGTGGTGTCCCTGGAGCACGAGACCCTGGTGCTGGTGGTGACCAGCACCTTCGGCAACGGGGACCCCCCTGAGTGCGCAGAGGTGAGGGGCTGTGGGAATAGGGGGGGGAAAGAGGACAGGGATGGGGACGGGGTGGTGACGTGCTGCCCTCGACAGAGCTTCTCCAAGGCGCTGATGGAGATGACTTCGCCCTACACCAGCACCTCCCAGGCTGAGCCACCCAAGTGAGCACCCCGGGGAGGCCGGGGGTGCCCGGCTGGGGGCTGGGATGGGGAAGGGCCCACCCTGCCATCACCCTGCCTTCACCCTGCCCTCTGTTCCGCACAGGAGCTACAAGCTGCGGTTCAACAGCGTCTCGCAGTCGGACCAGCTCGTCGCCTCCTGGAAGAAGAAACGACGGCAGCTGAGCAACACCGACAGCGCCGGCACGCTAGGCGCCCTGCGGTACCGCTGGCACGGCCGCAGGCACAGCCATGGCTGTAGGGACAGGGATGGGGTCCTCTGCCTGAGCACGGTGCCTGGCTGGGGCTTGGGGTGCCCCATCCAGGGGGGCTGCACGGTGCCGGACAGGTCTGTGGCCAGCTGCCAGCTGGGGAGGGGGCAGAGCCTGCGGTGGGCACCGGCTCTGGCACCAGCAGCACCAGCAGCTCCAGCCCCTGTCTGTCTCACGGCTGTGGGAGGGGGCAGGAGTTCCCCCTGTGGGTCCCTAACCACAAACCCCACTTCTAACGGCCCTGACCACCCCCTGCTCACAAAAACCCTGAGCACAGCCCCCACCCTGACCCACAGCCCTAGGTGCCCCCCCACCAACAGCCCCGAGCATCCCCCCCCCAGCCCTGGGTCCCCCCCACCCACAGTGCAGGCTCCGACCTTTCATCAGAGGGTCTGGGTCTGGGCTCACCGTGGTCATCTCCCCCCCACCGATGGTGGCAGGTTCTCGGTGTTTGGGCTGGGCTCGCGGGCATACCCCCACTTCTGCGCCTTCGCCCGGGCGGTGGACACGCGGCTGGAGGAGCTAGGGGGGGAACGGGTCCTGCCCATGGGTGAGGGCGACGAGCTCTGCGCCCAGGAGGAGTCCTTCCGCACGTGGGCCCGCCTCGTCTTCCAGGTCAGGGGGGGCACCGAGGACGGGGAGTGGTGGGGGACACCCAGCGCCCCCCCCTTCCTGGCACCCACCGGCCCCCCCTCCCTTGCCCCCAGGCTGCCTGCGAGACCTTCTGCGTGGGGGACGGGGCGGCGGGGGCCGAGGAGCTCTTTGCCCCCCCGCAGGGCTGGAAGCGCCAGAAGCACCGGCTGGTCGGGCAGCCCCAGGCCACAGAGACCCTGGCCGGTACCGCCACCCCCCCGGGACCCCCA